CCCTTCCACTGCTCTCAGCTCTGCCTCACAGTTCCTCTCCTTTATCTCTTGATAAAGAGCCAAGGTCTCTATCCTTGGCTCATCAAGGTGAGTGATGATCATTCTCCAGAAAGCAATCCCCATGCTTCTGTCTAACAGCTCCCCTGGAGGCCACTGGACCACTCACCTGTCAGGTTTGTATAAGGAGCCAGGCCTGTTTTAGGCAAGGGGGCAAGATAGTGGAAAATGGGAGACCAAGACTCTCTGTAAAACAAAAAAGAATATTGTTTGTGCTGAATGTTTTGGAGACAACTGTAGCAGGACGAGCCATGGACAAAACCCCTCAGACACCAGGTTAAAGAAGGAAGTGGCTTTATTTGGCCAGGAGCATAGGTAGACTTGCTCTCAAGAACAGAGCTCCTTTAAGAAAGAGTTCCTGGCCCTTTTAAGGGCTTACAGCTCTAAGGGGTCCACATGACATGGTTGTAATAGACTGAGAAAGCAGGTGGTACGTGACTAGGTGGGGGTAAGCAAGGCTAGTATTTCTCCATACTATTGTCTATGTTCTATAGATAGCACAAGCGATTAGAGTGGGGGTTAATCTTTAACCTTCAGGCTTGGCCAGTGACGCCAATCAGTCTGTTATTTTTCAGTTTTTACTTCCTTCTTTTCTTTGCAGACAGGAGACAGTAAGAGAAATGGCCTCTCTCCTCACAATGACACAAGTAAGCCAGAGGCTGTGGAGTCTGTTGAGGCTGGCTGGGCATCGATGGTCATGGGAGCCCTTTGCAAGGAGTGACACAAAGCTAAGATGCAAACCACAGAGCTAATACACTGTGTGAAAGCCGAAGGACAAGCATCCAGGCAGGAAGAAGAGCAAGTGAAATGGGTGGAGAGGGAGCACCCTGGCAGGAGAGGAGGGAGGGAGCATTGAGTCAGAGTGGGTTGCGACCAGATCATCAAAAGCCTTATGGGGCATGATCAGGAATTTGGACTGTCTCCTAAGGAAGATGGGAAGCTGGTGAGTGCAGGAGCAATTCCCAGGAAACAAACTAAAATTCTAACACATGTGCAGGATTCTCCATGGACACCGATGCTCCCAGAGGCCTAGATCATGCAAGAAAAGGCACGTGCCTGCCTGGAGATGCTCCAAGGGACGGGTTAAACATTCACACATCTACACCATAGATGAGGCAGCATGTGCCGTCCTTAGCATGCCCTACATCCTAGTGTGCCCAGGTCAGTCCCCACTCACATCTGTTGCCCTGATATTGATTACTCAGAACACCACCTTTCACTCTTAACCATGTCTCTGAATGATAAATTATATGGCTACCCTAATTATACCATTTGCTTCCACATAATTTAAGCCTCAGCTCATAAGGCCCATTACTCTTGGGTCGATGGTTTATTCTACCTTGAAATATAAATTCCTTGCAATTAATAGAAACTGTCACATGTTTATGTCTTGTTTCTCCTGCTGCACTGTATATTCCCAAGAGCAAGACACATGTGTTTATCAGTTCGTTTTGATAAAGAGCGTGTATTAGTTCATTTTGTGTTGCTATGGAGGAACACCTGAAACTGGGTAACGTACGAAGAAAAGAGGTTTGTTTGGCGCATGGTTCTGCAGGCTGTATAAATATGGTGCCAGCACCTGCTCAGCTTCTGGGAGGCCTCAGGAAACTTTTACTCATAGCAGAAGGCAAAGGGGGAGCAGGAGTGTCACGTGGTGAGGAGGGAGCAAGAGAGCGAGGAGAAAGGAGGCACCAGGCTCCTTTAAACAACCAGCGTTCCCATGAACTCATTACCACTGGGAGCGCACCCCGCCATCCACCACCGTGACCCAGACACCTCCCACCAAGCTCCATCACCAACACGGAGGATCACATTTCAACATGAGATTTGGAGGGACAAACATCCAAATCATATCTGAGCTTTCCCACATCTAACATGAATGTAACACGTGGGCTTCGGCACATCACTGCTCATAAATGAGGTCATTTTGTCTTCACAACAAAATTATTGGAGCATGGAGAATCATTTCCCATTTATGAACTGGCGAGGTAAAGTGAGTGGCCAAGGTCTCACAGCCACTAACTGTCAGAATCAGAACTTAAACTTGGGTGTGACTGGCTCCATCCCTAGGCATCTTTCTAAGCCACCACCCTGCCGCTGAAGGCCTGGCTGACTTCTCTCCCAGGGCAGGTCCTGACTGCCTAATAAGACAGAGGAGAAGGCACAATAACCTTTCCTGTCTGGGCTTTGCAAATATAAAGCGCCCTGTAACTGCTGAATAATAACAGCCGTCAGCCTTGGCGGGTGATCAGGACGCAAGGAGGGCTGTTGACGCTGTTGAGATTTTTATGACTATCTCCTAATGGGTGTCAGGTCATATGTAATTCCCTGCAATGTCAGAGCTTATCAGTCTCGCTCGAGGCAGTCAGACGTGGCCCACACAGCCAGGGTGCTCTTGGCGCAGGTTCAAACCGTCAGAGTCTCTTCTCAGAGGGTTTTCTGAACACCAGCCTCCAGGGAGGTACGCAGAGAAGATGCAGGTATCCCTGGGACTTGTGGGTTGAGGGAGCCACAGCTGGGGCCTGCACCAGCAACCTTCACCTGTAGCCTCAGGGAGGCTTGTAAGGTCATCTGTGCTCTCTCGGGGGCAGAGCCACGGTGCCAGGAGAAACCCAGGGACTGGAGAGTCCTCATGTTCTTTCCCTCCCTCCTGAGGCCGGCTCAGAGCTGTGGCTGCCAAACCCGTTCTCACCCTAGCTCAGCCTACAGCCACCTGGGTGACCTTGAGAAGGGCCCCCGGCAAGAGCAGTCCCTGTAGAGAACTGGGTTTCAATACTGCCAAGAACCACTTCTCAGTCCCTCTAGGTCTCAGACTCCACCCCTGTAAACTTCGGTGACAGCAACCATCTCGCAGGGCTGCTGTGTAGTTGAGATGCCTGGGGGCTTGCACACAGTAGGTGCTCAGAATAGGGGAGCCATCAGCATCCCCATCATCACATCCCCACCCCCCTCAGGGGCTGGAGCTCTGAAAGAGCAGAAGGTGGGCATGGAGGAGGTGACCTCCCCCGGTAGGCTGCCTTCTGTGTCTCTGTCCTGGGACACCCCAAGGGGCAAGGGAATCGCGAGCTGAGAGGGTGACACACAGAGGGCTAGGTTGTCTCCTGCAAAACGCTTCCCCAGGCCCAGCTCTTCCCCTGGTGTTCTGCACCCTGCAATGAGTCCACAATTAGGTTAATGAGTAAATTGGATTCAGAAGCCTAGAAAAATGGCCCACCCTGCTCTAAGCAAGAGCTGTTTATCAATGCCAGTGGGGTACACACAGCCTCCATTCAATTCTCTGTTCATAAGTTTTAATTTTTTTTTTTACTTTCAATTAGGGAAATTTTCTAACACTCCCTAAAGTAGAGAAAATAATATAACGAGCCCTCATTTTTAACACTTACGCATTTCTGTCGTTCTTCTCTCAGCTGCCCCGTACACATACATTTTTAAGACAAATTCCCGATGTCATGTCATTTCACTCCTAAATACATCCTTGTGGTGCCCCAGCCATCCTTGGTGCATGGTGGGGGAGGTGGGGAGAGGGGTCAGGGGATTCCACTCCAAAGACGTGGGTGACTGGTCCTGGAATGGAACCAGGGTCCAGGGCCTCCGGAACTGCTCTTTACAAACATCCCATTATGCACCTGGAGAGCAGGGAGTTAGGAGTAGATGTGGGAGGAATCTACCTTGGAATCTTATCTAGGAATCTAACGCCAGCATGGAGGACATCACCCAGCCCTGGAAATGTCCAGGTGTCTAGAGGTGCGTCCACGCCAGGACCCATGAGCACGGGAGGGAATGCGACCAACTCCTGGGAACTCTAGGGCAGCAGTCTTGGGGAAGCATGGCATCGTCACGGTGAGAGAGAGCTGGAGGCAGCCACCAGCTCCCCGTCCCTGCCCTCCTCTGCCAAAGGGAGGCCCTGCTATTACTTTCCACACAAGTAGCTTGTAGGAAGAACCTGTTAAGAGGATGGCTGGTCCACTGAAAAAGCGGCAGTAGCTTCAGAAAGGTGAAAATGTGACCCCTCCTCGCCAAAAAAAAACTGTCTGCAGTTAAGAAAACAAGGTGCCTATGGCCATAACACCATGAACGTGCCTGGTGTCACCTGATCTCAGAAGCTAAACAGGCTCTGGCTTGATTCATACTTGGATGGAAGAAAACAAGGTGTGCCCATTTTACAGATAAGAAAGACAAGCCTCAGAGAAATAAAAAATTTCTCAGCCACCAGGTGACAGAGGCGGCTCTAATCCAGTGATTCCCTCCCTCCTTCCTCATCTTGTCTTCCTGATTCAAGCTTAGCTCCCAGAGCTCATTCCTGGGAGGAGACAGCTCTGGGTGACTGATTCACTGATCAACTTGGTTTGGGTTTCATAAAATTCTGTGCTGGAACACTGAGTCAGTACTTCTCCCAAGTTGCCAGTCCAGAGACACGAGGAGAATGCTAAAAGCTCAAATATGTAAATGAACATTTGGACAGATTTCCTCTAGAGTTTCGGCCTCCAGGCAAATTATTTATTCCCTGCAGAAATGCATTTTTGTTTCTGCTTAACGGGTGAAAAAGGAGAAAAGATTTTTTCGGGATGACCAAGCTTAGGAATAAAAGTCTCCCTGGGAAATGTACTTTTCTGAAAGCAAATGTTGGCTAAACAAGGATGGTGTTGACTAAACACGTGTTCCCCTCACCCAAAGGAATGGAGTCAGAGAATCCCCCAAGCACCAAATTGTGGGAGCAGATGGGTCTCTTGGAAGTTCACGGTTTGCCTTTCTCCTGCCCAGCCCCATGCCTTAAGCAAGACGTGGGATGGTCTCGGGATGACACCCACAAATGTGAGTAGGAAGGTGGGAAGCAGCCTCTCCTCTAAGATAGAAAAGCAACTGTGACAGACTGAACAAAGCATGTGGTTCAGACATGAGACCCCGAGCTGGCCCTAGGGAGGGAGAGAGCAGCTCTGCAGCCCTTATATTCACGAAGCCCTGGGCACTGAGAGACGCTGTTACAGAACCAAGCTGGGGTCCACTCGCTAGGTGAGTAAAACCCGACAGCCACACCAAGGTTTCACAGCAATAAAAAGGAAAGTGTTTATTTGCAGTGCACCAAGCAAGGAGAATCTGGAAGCTGTTGCTCAGATCCTGACCTCCCAGACGGCTTGAGGGTGAAGGTGTTTAAAGGTGGGGATAGGCCTGGCACAGTGGCTCACATCTGTAATCCCAGCAGTTTAGGAGGCTGAGGCAGGCAGATCACTTGAGGTTAGGAGTTCGAGCCAGCCTGGCCAACATGGTGAAACCTTGTCTCTACTAGAAATACAAAAATTAGCCAGTTGTGGTGGCGCACGCCTGTAGTCCCAGCTACTTGGGAGGCTGAAGTGGGAGAATCCCTTAAATCCAGGAGGCAAAGATCGCACCACTGCCGTACAGCCTGGGAGACAGAAGCAAGACGACAGACAGGAAGGAAGGAAGAAGGAAAGAAGGAAGGACAGGAAGAAGGGAAGAGGAGGGAAAGCGAATGGAGAAGGAAGGATGGATGGGGAAGGGAGGATGAGAGGAGAGAGAGAACGAGAAGGAAGGAAAGACAGAGGAAGGAAAAGGAGAGGAGGAGAGAGGTAGCGAGGAGAGAAAAGGAAGGAAGGAAGGAAAGAAGGAAGGGGAGGAGGAGGAGGAGAAGAAGAAGGGAAGGAAGGAAGGAAAGAAGGAAGGAAGGAAGGGAGGGAGGGAGGAAGGAAGGAAGGGAGGGAGGAAGGAAGGAAGGGGAGGAGGAGGAGGAGAAGAAGAAGAAGGGAAGGAAGGAAAGGAAGGAAGGAAGGAAAAGAAGGAAAGAAGGAAGGAAGGAAGGGAGGGAGGGAGGGAGGAAGGAAGGAAGGAGGGAAGGAAGGAAAGAAGAAATGTATGGGTAAACTTCAGGAGAGCAGAAGCCACAGGCAAAATCAGAAATCAATATATGGTGGGTACACATTGATTTTGGCCTAAAAGGGTCGGGGCATCTTTAGGGGAAGAGCGTACAGGTCATGGGTGGATTCAAAGATTTTCTGATTTGAAATTAGTTAAGGAAGAGAAGCTTTGTTTAAAAATTGGGCGTCAGCGGAAAAACATGTTAACTATGTTAACTGACTAGGGGACAGGCGTGACTCCCACCAAACCTCTCAGGAATAAACTTAGAACAAAGAACAGTGTGGTCAGAGTTCTGTCTGCAGTTCCCCCTTATCTGAGGTCTACCTGTCAGCGAATCCCACAGGGGTCTGCGGTGGGGTCTGGGTGTGTGAAAGAACTCAGGGACGTATGTTGAAATGTTATCTTTCATTTCTGTAGAGAAATCAAAAATCTCTGGACTAATTTTCTTGGCTTTAGGTGACGATTGCTTTCTTGCTTATCTACTTCTCAGGCCTACTTAGGTGCCTGGAATTTCCCTTCAAGGAACTCAGGAGTTTTCTTTATTTTCATGCTTGGGGAGACTCATCAGGCCCCTAAGAGGGGTTCCCCTCCCCATCTCAGCACTAAAATGTAATGAAGATGTTGCTCAGGTATGCTCGGGGAAGACAGGCTGGGAGGGCTGGGTGCCACCTTTAAGGAGAATTCCTAGCACATTGGGTTCCCGAACCCCTGATAGGACCTTGTGGTCTTGAACCAAAAGCTCAGGCATTAGTTCTGTGTGCCCACTGACTTCTATTAAACAGGCTGCTGGCCAGGCTGATTCAACGTGACCCCACCACCACCCCCCTCCTCTGTGCTTCCCCCTCACCCAGCCCACACGGGAGGACCTTCACTCTCACAACCAGCTCAGGCCGCGCTGTGCACTCCTGATGAAGGCTCTTGAGCGCCGTCTTCAGAGCTGCTGATAATCTGGAAATGAATGGCCAGGTTGGAGGTTGCAGGCTGAATCCTTTCAAAGGCTGTGATAAAGCCTGGCATGTCTCAGCACTGTCTCCTTTTGTTTTCAATCATCCTGACACTGCAGAGGCAGCTGGAGAGGGATGGGTCTGTGGCTGACACCCCGCAGAGTGAAGCCGAGATGATGCAGCCACCAGGGCCGGAGGGTGAGTTTCCTAGTCCTTGTGTGTAACTGGGTCACTATTTTTAGTTGGAACCTCCAGTCAAAAATGTCAAACAGGGAAAATGAATGTGGGCTTGGCTGAGAAGAAACCAGAGGTGAAGGTTTCGTTCCATCTCGCTTAGCAGCTCACTCTGGGACTTGGAAAAGGCCTTTTCTCAGTTCTGGGCCCAGGCTCTCCCACTTGAACAGCTGACATTCTATGGATTGGAGACCACCCCTACCCCAGGAAAAAGGGACTCAGCCGTAGGAAGCCAGCAGCCTGCCGGAAAGTTCTTGCAGATGTCTGTAATGCTGAGGACAAGCTCTCCCGTTCTTGCCTGGGAAAGTCAGAAAAAGTGGCCGGGTGCAGTGGCTTACATCTGTAATCCCAGCATTTTGGGAAACCAAGATGGGAGAATCACTTGAGCCCAGCAGTTCAAAACCAGCCTGAACAACATAGCAAGACCCCATCTCTGGTGCCTGTGGGCCTAGCTACTCGGGAGGCCGAGACAGGAGGATCGCTTGAGCCCAGGAGTTCAGAGATTGCAGTGAGTCACGATGACACCACTGCACTCCAGCCTGAGCAACAGAGTGAAATTCTGTCTCTAAAATATAAAATAAATAATTTAAAAATTCAAGAAGCAGAAAAGGGAAATGTTTAGCAGGGTCACATCTGCCACAGATTTGAACATACTGCAGAGGAGCCCCACCTGCCACTGCTCCATCAGCCAGGCCCACCGGTCCGTCCCCTCAGCCTCAGGATCCCCAAATCTAGAGATCCCCAGGCCGTGGAAGATGCACGGGACCCAGGACTGGAAGAGAGTTCAACAAGGCAACTTCCTCATCCCCCGGCTCACTGATGGAGCTGTTGATGGAAAAATCAAACTCTGTAAGGTATTTTTCAGAGGTTTATTCTGAGCCAGTATGAGTGACCATGGCCTAGGAAATGCAGTCTTTAGAAGTCCTGAGCAGGTGCGCCCGGGACAGTTGGATTACAGGTTAGTTTTGTACGTTTTAGGCAGGCAGGAGTTGCTAGTGAAGACATGAATTAATACACGCAAGGTGTACTTTGGCTCAGCCCCAAAAGGTGGAATATCTTGAAGCAGGGTCTTACAGGTCATCAGTGGGCTGAGAGATTCTTTAATTTGCAGCTGATTAAAGGAGTAGAGCTTTGTCTAAAAATTTGGAGTTAGCAGAGAAGAATGTTTTAAGTTAAGGAAATTTGTTAACCAAACTTCCGGGTCAGAGTGATCTGCAGGGGTGCATGACTTACCCCTTGTCTGGCACCGCCTTAGGTCCTGTTTATAATTGGTATCTTATTGTCACAAAGGGTCTGCTCTGTCAGTCTTACGATCTCTACTTTAGCTTGAATGCCAAGCAGTGGTTTTGTCTAAACTCCAAAAGGAGGGAGTGTGACGAGGCGTGTCTGGCCTCCCTTCCTGTCATGGTCAGACACTCATTTTCTAAGACTTTTCTGGGGTCCCCTAGGCCAAGAAGAGGTACTCAGCTGGTAGGGGCTCAGGATTTTATTTTCAGTTTACAGAGAGCTATTGATAGAAATGCCTCCATGACTCCGATGGTTTGAAGGAGAATTCTCTCTCTCTCAGTCTCTTTCTCAATACTCAAGGTAGAATTCTCATAAAATACATAAGATGCAGCTAGGCGTGGTGGCTCACCCCTGTAATCCCAGCACTTTGGGAGGCGGAGGAGGGCGGATCACCTGAGGTCGAGAGTTCAAGACCAGCCTGACCAACATGGAGAAACCCCATCTCTACTAAAAACACAAAAATTAGCCGGGTGTGGTGCCGCATGCCTGTAATCCCAGCTAATTGGGAAGCTGAGGCAGGAGAATCGCTTGAACCCGGGAGGCAGAGGTTGTGGTGAGCTGAGATCACCCTCCAGCCTGGGCAACAAGAGTGAAACTCTACCAACAAAAAAACAAACAAAAGCAAAAAACACCATATGATGCAATACCTAGATATGTTCTGAACGTCACACTTATTAATTCTCACGTATAACATATGCTCCAGGCGGTAGCAAGAATGTCAGCTCAGGACGGCCCAGTCCTCACTCATGTGCAATGAAGGACTCTCATTCGTGGGGCTGGGGGAAGGATTTAACTGTAGAATGTTGAATGATCATGGGAATAAATTATAGAGAGACCCAGAATAAGTTATATGATGATCAGACAACTTAATCAAGGATGTTCTTTCCATGGGTAAAGTATTTAGAATTTGTAGTATTAAGAAGGGAGGGCAGGCCGTGAGATGTGGCTGCAGGGAAGTGGTATGTCATGTTCCTGGTTCTGCTTGTAACTGTTTGTGAAAGCTGCTGCTGCTTTTTTTTTTTGTTCTTGTCTCCTTCACAGAGAAAGTGAAAGCTTCTTTCTTTACGTTTTATTTTTAGAGATGGTGTCTTGCCCTGTTGGCCAGGCTAGAGTACAGTGGCATGATCACAGCTCACTGTAGCCTCTAACTCCTGGGCTCAAGTAATCCTCCCACCTCAGCCTCCACAGCAGCTAGAACTATAGGTTTGTGCCACCATACCCAGCTAATTATTTTATTTTATTTTTTGTTGAGATGGGGCCTTGCCCTGTTGCCCAGGCTGGTCTGGAACTTCTGACCTCAAGCAATCCTCCTCCCGCCCTGGCCTCTCAAAGTGCTGAGATTGCAGGCATGAGCCACAGTACCTATTCGAAAGCTTCTTACATCAGATTTGGGCTGGAAATGGACTCCCAAAATGTGGGAACTAACACATGTTTTATCAGGCTGCCCGCTGAGGGGACTTTGCTGAATTTGTGATCTCAAGACCCTGGGAGTGACAGCTGTCCTCCCTTCCCGCCCTCCACACACCAGACACACACACACACACACACACACACACACACACAGTCACCAGCCAGGTATGCAGAGAGGAGAAATGAGCTGAAGATCCCACCTGCTGAGGTCCTGAGACTCCTGGCCACACAGAACAGTAGCTCCTATTCCCTGAGCTCCTCCTATGTGCCACACACAGCTCTAGGTGACTTGGTAAAATGGCCCATTGGTCAAATTTATATAACAGGTGTCTAGCACCTTCCCCCAGCTCATTTTCTAGAGATGATGCCCCTCCTCCAGCCTGAGGAGCCGCTGTCAATGCCAGGGAGCTCTCCTCTAGTCACAACCAAGTGGACGCTCATTCAGCCTGGGCCACTTACATTCTCCTTCTGGCGGATGGGGAACTGGGCTCAGAAATACATAGAGGCCATTGAGAGGCAGGCGCTGGCCATGCAGGCCTGAGCTGGTACTTGCAAATGGGAGCTCCAGGTTTCCTACCTACAGAGAGAGGAAAACCAACCAGCAGAATGTACAGAGAGGAGAAGGAAGGGAGGGGGTGTGGGATGGAGCTGTTGATCACCAAAGCTCTGGACAGATTCCGGCCCTCAGCTCCCAGCCCTCCTGAGAACCCACCTTCCCGTAGGTACATTGATTCCATGGATGTTCTATTGTACTGGGTGCTGCTGGGTGCCAGGCCTTGTTCCAGTGCCGGGTGTGCAGCACTCCCTGTCCACGGCGCTTCCTCTCTAATGCGCTCTGTGAGGCACGTCTATTCTTTTAAATAAACCTTTGTTTACTGGAGTGAGCCCAAGTAGATTTCTGTTTCCTGCACCCAAGAGATGTGTCATGAAGACCAGGTTGGTATGGATTTTCTCAGTCTACGGTAGATGACCTGGAGGCTCCGAAGAGGCGAGAAGTGGCCCAAGCTCACCCAGATGCAGCGTTGGACATTTTATTTTTATTTTTATTTTTTTCTAGAGACAAGGTCTTGCTCTGCTGCCCAGGATGGAGTGCAGAGGTGTGATCATGACTCACTGTAGCCTCTACCTCCTGGGTTCAAGCGATCCTCCCACCTCAGCCTCCCCTGTAGCTGGGATCACAGGTGGGCACCACCGTACTCAACTAATTTAAAAAAATTTGTTTTATAGAAACAGGGTCTCACTTTGTTGCCCAGGCTGGAGTGCAGTGGTTCGATCATGGCTCACTGCAGCCTCAATCTCCTGAGTTCAAGCCATCCTCCTGTCTCAGCCTCCTGAGTGGCTGGGAATACAGGCACTCACCAACACACCCAATTTGTTTTAATTTTTCTACACTTGAGGTCTCTCTGTGTTGCCCAGGCTGATCTCCAACTCCTAGGCTTAAGTGATTCTCTCACCTCGGCCTCCCAGAAGGCTGGGATTACAGGTGTGAGCCCCGGCACCTGGCTTTGAGCTGGATTTTGAAAGCAGCACATCATCTTGAAGCCCACTCACTTCCCACAGGGTTGCCATTACCTCCCAGGGGCTTAAAGAGTTCATTCTGCCAAAAGAGTCAGGGCCCTGCACCCAGGGTAACCCCTGGGGTCAATAGCAGAAACCCCAAAGGGCACACACGAGGAAAGTTCTGCTCACAGCAACACTCCCTCTGGGGGGTTTTGAATGCTGTATGATGTTGATTCTCACCACAGCCCTGCCAGAGCCACAGCACGGGTGTTACCTCACTTTTACAGTTGTAGAAACCCTGAGTTCGGAGCAGCCAAGGGGCCTGGTGCAGGAGGGGCAGGACTCCACCCAAGACTCCTGACCTCTGCTCTTTTCACCACCCAGCAATACTTTAAATCTGCACCAACCTTTCACTTCATCTTCTCTGATGCCTTCCCTCCTTGGGCTATTTGCTATTTCTTCTTGGCCAAGTTTCCCCTACAAATTTGCCACCCAACTTCTCAAATATTTTTCACCCCTTCCCAGTGAAGCACCCATCTCCCCTAAAGTTGAGCTCCCCCTGTCTTCCTCACACTCTCTCTCAAAACACCCCCTCAGTCCTCCCCTAAACCACTCTATCCGGGTGCATGGTACCCCCATCAGTGTCACCGTCTCCACCTAATGGCCAGGAGAAACCTGGAGTCAGCAGTGGCTTCAGTCTCTTTCCATGTCATTCACAACACGTCAGCATCACTGGCAAAGTTTCTGTCCAATCCTAACACTTCCGTTGCTTCAATGTATCTCTGTCCTGTCTCAACTGGATGGCTGCAGTGGCTTCCAGAGAGGTCTTTCTGCTTCCTCCATTGTGGCTGAGTCTATTCTGTAAGCAGCAGCCAGGGGCATCCTCGTGCATCCTTTGGATAAAAGCCAGGCTGGCACCAGATTCAGTGGAATCCCCAGGGTAATGTTCTCCCAAGACCAGCACAGGAGTGTCAGGAAAGGCTCATGCTAAAATGCTAATTCCCGGCCCTGAGCCCATCCCTGCAAGTCAGAGTGGCTTAGGAAGGGGTGGGAATTGTTTAAGAAGGTCCCAGGTGATTTTTCTGCACGCCAAATTTTGAGGACCATGGAGGAGTCTGACAGGCAAGGAGGAAGGGCGTAGGAAGGAAGGAACTGGAAACTGCCCTGGTCCCTGCAGCTGCTGAAGAAAGTCAGAATCTAAGCCCCCCGCTGGGGCTGAGAAGCAGCTGAGGGTCAGGAGCCCAGAATCAAACATCCGGCCCTGCCACTGCCCGGACGTGCGGCCTCCAGCTGAGGCACTCTCTTCGAGAAATCCAGGTTCCAAGTCACAAAACGAGATAATGATATCTGCCCGGCAGGGCTGCCGTGTGGATTAATACCTTTGCAGTTTACCCAGCACTTAGCACAGGTGCTAAATGCCTCACAAATGTGGGCATTATGGTAATTAGTGATGTGTCTTCCCAAAAATATCAGTGATTTTCTGGTTGATGGATTTACATAACTTGAAGGCCAGTGGGACTTCCCTGTAGAATGTGTCTCTGATTCTCATGTACCATTATTCTCCGTTACCCTGTCCTTACACACACACACCCCTAACACACATATGTACACATGTACCTGCACACATACACCACATACACTCGCCTAACTCACATATGCACGTAGCACACATACACACACACACACCCCTAGCACGCATATATACACATTCAGACATATACCCACCTAACACACACAGCTAGCATGCATATATACACATTCAGACATATACCCACCTAACACACACACACCTAACACGCATATATACACATACAGACATATACCCACCTAACACACACACACCTAGCACGCACATATACACATACAGACATATACCCATCTAACACACACACACCTAACACGCACATATACACCTACAGACGTATACTCACCTAACACACACACACCTAACACGCATAAATACACCTACAGACGTATACCCACCTAACACACACACACCTAACACGCATAAATACACCTACAGACATATACCCACCTAACACACACACACCTAACACGCACATATACACCTACCACCTAACACACACACACCTAACACGCATAAATACACCTACAGACGTATACCCACCTAACACACACACACCTAACACGCATAAATACACCTACAGACGTATACCCACCTAACACACACACACCTAACACGCATA